TGCTTCTCTAACAGTGTTAGCTGTTTTACAGAGATGTCCATCATCACATCAAAGAGTACGACAGAAAACGAAATAGCAATGATCCAGAGAAGAGGATTCATGAAACAGTCGGTGAAAGAAATCTGAAGGCAACGAAACATCACTGCAAAGTGAGAGGATCAGCAAGGGAAGAGAATAAAAACGAAGAGAGACACGAAAAAAAGATTGAGAGGAATTGCGCGGTGACGAAATATTGTGGGGAATGGAACGAGACGAAACGGAAAGAGTTCGGCATGAGAATCAGTGAGGGGAAAGAGAACAAGAGAAATTCTGAGGTGAAAAAATATAATGAGGAAGAGAATGAGAGGGATTCGGGAGTGAAGAGACATAACGAGAGAAAGAGTGAAACAAAACGGAGAGAGCATGTGGTGGAAATCAGTCAGAGGGAGAGGCATGAGAGAAGTGTGGAGGGTAAAAAGCACAATAGGAAAGAGAACGAAGGAAAACTGGAGGAAGTGAAGAGAATCAACAAGGAAAAGATTGAGAGGAACTTCGAGGTGAGGAAATACAACGGGGAAAAGAGAGGAATCGGAAAGACAGAGTATGGGAGGGAAATTGGTCAAGGGAAACATTGTAAAAGAGATGCGAAAGAAACGGGAGAGAGTAGGGTGCAGGCGGAAAGGAATTTGAAGCTGAAGAGATACAGCAGAGAAGAGAACGAGACAAAAGGAAAAGAGTATGGAAAGGTAAGAGGACATGGAGTAGAGAACGACAGCGATTTTGGAGTGAAAAAATATAACGAGGAAAAGAATGAGAGGAATTTAGACAGCAGACAAGAGAAAGAGAACAAGAGGATATTGGAAGCAGAGAAATATATCGGCGAAGAGAATGAGCGAAGTTCGGCAAGGCAAAAATACAATGGGAAAGAGAATGAGATGGAAAAGATAGAGTGTGGGATTCGAGAGAGTGCAGAGAATAAAAATGAGACGAGATTGAAGGCAAAGCAAAACAACTGGCAAGAGACCGGGCTGGAAAAGAGAGAGCGTGTAAATGATGAGGTGGTTTCTGGGAAAAACACTGGTAAAGATGCAGAGCATTTAAAAAGAGTTGAGCCAAAGAATGATGCGGTGAATCGTAATATAACTGAAATTGAAGAGACGGCAGAGAATGAGATTAAGGGAAATATTGAAGCGGAGTGTGTGGCAGACGACGAGTGGATTTTCGAGCTACTTGGTGAGTGTAATGAATAATATTTATTCTATATTATTATTTATTATCAATATCACAGTTACTCTAATTAATAATAACAACTAATTATTCAGGAGAACCAACCACGTCTGTTGTGAAAACAAGAGAGTGCAAAGAAAACGAGAAAACAACCGCCGAAGAAATAGTGCGCTTAAGAGGAGAGCTGGAGACGGAACGAAAACGACGAAAGAGCATGGAAGAAGCGTTTAGCAGAGATAAAAAGCAGTTTGAATTGAATTTTTATAGTTTGCTAGTAACAGCTCGAAAGCAAATTAATCGCTTAAAGGAAGAAAACAACGTCTTAGAAGAAAGGTATTATTTTATTATTTATTAATTTTATTACTTATTAATTTTATTATTAATATGTATAACTATTATTATTACTATTATTATTATTATTATTTGTTATTACTTGTTGAAGCGTATAATTTAAACAGAATAATAATGTTATATTGAAAGATCTTTAACAATAATAATAATAATAATAATAATAATAACAGTTACAAACGTTTGATAGCCCGGCCAATCCAGGTAATAATAACAGCAACAATAATAATAATAACAGTACCATTAACTGCTTAATAAAGTAAAACAGTAAAATAAATAAATATTAATAAATATGACCCAATTCAGGCTATCCTCAAACCACTCAATCCTCTGTCCCGAATGCAGCGCAGAGATATCAATCCGCAAAAACAGTCACAAACCCAAAAACATTAAAGTGCTGAGGGGACGGAATACGATCGAATTGAATTTTGATAATTTCGATGATCTGAGGAAATTTTTGATCACGAATAATTTCGAGCGGAATGCCGATGGATTGCCGACGATATTCGACGTCGAGAGTGCACATTTAGCAACGTTAAAGTCAACTGAGAGCACTATATCTGAGTTGATTGGCTTGAGGGTATGTTATTTATTATTATTATTATAAATAAATATTATTGTTTGTTATGTATTATTATTATTATTTTGTCACATTACTAACTGGAGATATATTTATTGTAACGGTGAAATTTCAGAGCGAGCACAAAGAGTGATTTTCAAATTTCAGACTGATCAAAAGGCATTGGCGATCGATACGGATCAGTGTATAAAACGATTGCGAGATTCACAGCATAATAATAACAGTAATAACGAGTATAATAGTAATAATAAATGTGATATAAATTGTAACAATTCACGTGTGGAGTCATCGATAAGCGCACGATTCTCATTACATTGCAAAGGTTTAAATGGTTTTTTCTTTTTAATGATTATTTTTTGATGAATATAATAATAAATAAATTGTTTAATTAAAACTATATTTGATTTATATAGTGATAAATGCAATGGTATTAATAATGTTAATGATAATTAATAATTAGTAAAATTTAAGAGGTGAAGCAATCGGAGAGCCGTGATTCGTGTCATCGACTAGCGGCGAAAAGGCAACCTTACAGCGGGGATTCTGCTAATGACAATGAGAAAATTGGAGCGTGCAGAGAAAGAAAATTGGATGAACGAAGAGCGATAGATACTAGGAATCGAGGAGAG